TCATATTTTTCGGGGTTTTATATGTCCTTCTTAAATTACGACCGACCATAATACCGAATACGGTACGAATTTGGCTGATCGGTACATTTAACGAAATTGGATATCTCAAATCGGTAAGGACCGCGAAACATACCGATTTGCAAAAATCGTACTCTATTTATTCTAACTAATACTAAAATTACATAAATTATTTATTTATTATGTAATAATATATTTATTGATAAAATTTTATTTAATCTAATTTTTTGTCATGTCGTTATATCGCGCTCGAATGAAACTATCAAAGAAAGTTCTGCCAAATATTATTTCCCTACCCACACTAGATTATTACTTATACACGCTATTGTTGGCCTCGAAAGAACGTAAAGAATAATGGGAGAAGTTTTATAAAGTCATTTTTTCACATATCAAAGCAAGTGTGTTCTTTTAAATAGCTTTGGCTTTGATAAAAAAAAAATTACGATGCAGAGTTATTTATATTTCAAATCGTCCCTTTTTATTGTTTATAATAATCTCTTAACCCCTCGCTTGATGTACTTGTTGGCGGGTGCTCACGGAGTAATGTTCTGAATAATCCAGAACATTTTGAAGTGGTCCATTGGTTCTGGTTGATCTTCCTTGGGGAGAAGTAAACCACGGAATATTGCTCGCCATTATTTTATTTTATTTTAACACAGAAACGAAGAAACGGACAATTCCAAAATTTCCCGATCACGCTAACGCTATTTACAAACGAAACGAAGGACTTCTCCGATAACTCTACGCTACTTAGAATTAACTAGATAGTCTTTTACAAAAATGCGCCGCTGAAAGGAACCAATATATTTTTTTTAAATTTATCTTTATTGTAAATTTATAACTAGTTACATTTAATAAAAAAAAATTAATTTTATATATAATCCATATGTATTAATTAAAATATAGTGTGATGATATTATATACACAAGATTTGTTTGGATCTTGTTGACCCTTTTTTAATAACGGATTTTCTATCTTCGGATCCTTAAGTCTTTTTTTCCTTTTTTAATTAAACGTTTTTAATAAATATTTTATTATAAAAAGCGGTGGTGTTTGCCCTTGATTAGTTCAAATCATCCTAAAACTTCTCTTTCATGTCTTTCATGGCAACCATCTGACATGATTTAGAAACGGAATTCTGTCGAATAAGAGTTAAATATGAAAATTCCTTTTAAAAATTGATGTAATAAAGTTTATAGTTCAAATAGCTTTCGATGATCTGCATTTTTAACAATTTCTACAGTTGGGACATTCCTAAGGCCAACTTAACGGGTACAGTACGATTAGCTAGTAATGTATATATTGTACGTTATGTATGCCTTAAAAACTATACATGTATGGTTTTTTCATAAAAAATAGTCCATACTTGTAAGGTTTCTAATATTATACATACATGAAAAAAAAAAAAATACTATACATACATACATACATTGCCAACTTAACCAAGACATTTTTTTCAGGAAACAAATTGTTTATCATTCAATGAGTAAATAAATTTAAGAATCAGAAACCTATTTTTTTATTATGTAAGATTTACTATATGTTAAGTTTCGTCCGCAACCTTAATTTAATGTTTTCGTTTTTTTTGTAATCCAGCTTCACAGATTGGCTTCTTAGGTTTATAAGAAGTATTAGATTCGGGATAGCTTGCTAAATCATTTGACAAGGCGTTTTTTCTACGAGACATTGCTAATTTTACTTCGGAATGTAATAACACCGGAAATCCTGGCAATGATACTATATAATCGAATTGTTTAGCGAATTTTAAATAGATACTAGAGAAAAGGACTGTGCGGAAGAAGAGAATAGAATAATAATTTCTTTCGGAAAAATCAATTGGTCAGGAAAAATAATGAATTTATCATTAGCGATTGTGAAAATAGCAATAGAATAGCATATTCTGTGAGACCAAAGTATAACACTTTGGCTTTTGGTCCGTGCATTTTTTCAATCCTCTCAATGCAACCTTCGTGATAAAGTAAAGTTTTCTCACATCGGTATATATACTGTATGTATCAATGAATTACATAAGAAGCTCATACTGTATATCATCAATTTAGTTTAAAAGAATTTATAAAAAATTAAATTATTTATCGAGTCGGGGGGTATTTTTTTGGTATGACAAAAAAAATGATTTTCACAATCCGTCGATCAATGATCACGGATTGTATCCTATAAAATGGCGCCAATTCCGTTTGTGAATTTTTTTTTTTTTTATAGTCAGGAAATGACTGAAAATGTGAATAGATTATGAAGCAATTGGAAAAGGACACATAAAAATGTTATAAATATGATCAATTTATAAATGTTGAAAAGATTGGTATTTGGTGATTTTGGTAATGTATTTCAAGCGAATTGGAAACGTTTTTAGTTTTGAAAGCATTTGAAAATGATAATATGTCTGTTAGTAACGTCATCAAAGAGGTAATTATCTGTTTGCAATAATAATCATTTGCTTGAATTTAACTTGAACTCTTTAATTAAATTTATTTGTTACGCACTGTTAATTATTATCATGAAAATATTATACGATTCCTTGGAATTACCAATAAATATGGAATTAGTAATCCGTTATTTATTTAATTTGTTTAATTGGTAATTTGGATAATTTACGTTATTATTATTTACTTGATAACCCGCTTTCACAAAATAACAAAAATATTTGATAGTAATGGAATATGCTGATGGAAGCTCGCTTAAAGACTACTATTTGAATTAATATTTCAATAAATTTAAAATGGGATGACAAATATCAATTAGAATTTCAAATTGTAATTGATTTTGGTAGACGGCCTCCATTTGAGAATAGTGATGTAGAGTAGGCAGTAAAAATTATGTTATGAGAAGATGATGTGGAAGATACACCTACGGAATATCGCAATCTTTATAAGGTGTTTACAACATTTAATCCATTCTGATTTTTTTATTTAATTTTTTTTTTTTTTTTGAAATTAATAATTTAATTTAACGTTATTCGTCAGTATGTTGGGATAATGAGCCGAATAATCGTCCAACCGCTAAACAAGTTGTTACTAAATTACAATCCATTATTTCACAAAATGGTGATGAAAATGTGATGACGTTAAAAAAAGCAATCAATTATTAAAAGAAGTTCAACGTAATCCAATTATAAGTAATAGTGAACAATCGGAAATATCTTAAAAGTTTCCAACTTTATCTAGCCTTGATTTAACGGGATTTACTTACAAAACATCAACAACTTTTTCAAAGGTCGTGGTAGAGACAACAGCTGTTGAAGCAACTCCAATAATAGTTCCAATTAACTAAAAATTCACTGATATAAAGAAACAAGTAAGAAACGTGGTGATGGGGTTATAACTAATTTGCATTTAGACTCAACGACAAGAATGATCAAGGTCGTGTACGAAATAAGTTACAATTCTTAAAGAATTTCAAGATTGGCAGAATATCATAAAACGTTATGGTCTTATTCTGCTGATGATGAATGATATTTGGTAACAGAATGGGTGAATATTTAAAGAACGATTCGTTAATAATCTTAAAGTTACGTATAATCCTTGATATTGCACGTGGATTAAATTTTTTCAGATCTGTTAAAATTAATTTTTATTTTAAAAAAAAAAAAATAATAATTAATAAAAAAAAGTAAATTAAATAAATAAATTTTTTTTTTTTAGAACGTGTATCGTGATATTTGCAAATTTTAGATCCTGAATTTCTAGATAGGGCTCCAAACGTCAAATATGATCTATCATAATGACATTATGACTATAATCGATTTTGTCAATAACAAAAAACGAGAATCATTTTCGAAGAGTAGAAAAATGCCTTAGTTTATCAATAGGTCGATCATGGGTCGGTCAACGACTTTTGACCGACACGACCGTTTGATCGACCGACCAAGTATGTTATTATTTAAGCCAAATATTAATTTTTCATGGAATAAGTTTAAAAATTCTTTATATAAAGGTACATTACATTTCATACTTATTGGCGCAACATTATCGCCAACTGTTTTTTTAAAATATATTACTACAATGATTGTTAATTTAAATATAAAGAAACTTTGTTTACTAATTAAAACATGATTGGGTTTATCGTTTCAGCCAAGTGTATTAAAATTTTCTTCAAGTAGTATCGAAGCGTACCTCCATCAGCATACTCCATCAAAAATATCACCAATAAATACTTTTTTAATTGTTGAGTAAATATATAACTTTATAACATACATTTTAATATTGAAATGATTTATTCCATAAAAGCGAATAATATTGTCGTTATAATCAACTTCACGTTGAATTTCAAGCTGAATTATAAAAACAAACATACATGTTCTAACTTATAATTACCTCACGAACAATTTCTTTGGCAGTGACATTGTCAAGATTAAAAAAGATTTTAATGCAAAAACTTGTTCAGAATTGATTTGATTTGCGCGATAAATCGTTCCAAAGGCCCCGGAACTAATTATTTGTATTCGTAATGTTTAATATGCTTTTTAGAAATGGCTTCTTCAATCAAATCAATCCACTCATTTGAAAATGGCATTTTATTAATGGTGTGGGCGTAATGACAAAAATTCTGAAAAGTTAAAAAAGAAATATTTTAATGTTTAAGCCACAGGAGTCATGTGTTGTGTAAATAATTGATTTAATGATTTTTCTTTTTTCAGTTTTTTTTCAGGCAGGTTCTTATTGCCAAACTGAAACGTAGGAAACAAAAATATTGGCATAGTTACGAATACTTATTGCAACTTCGCTTTATTTTAGAAATGTAAATTTCTTTTATATTTATCGGTGGAGTTTAACATAATAGAAACTCACTACTATAATTCATTTCGCGAAAAAAAAAATAATTTAACTACTAGAAAATAAAGAAAATGAATTTTTAATATTATAAGGTCAAAACTTGAAGCGTTGTAAAATGGTACTAAAATATATTTGGCCTGGTTCACCCACTCATAAAAAATTTTAATCCGTAACTTAAAATTAAACTTATCCATGAAGATGATAGAATACATTCCTAAGGTAAATGTTTTAAATTTTGAAATAATTCAGATTTATGTCAACACCTATCCTATTTCAAAAAAGCAAATTTCTAAAATTTAAGATAACCAATAACAGATAACATCATAATAATAAGTTACTTACATGTGAATTTGATTTTCGTAATTCAATTGAGAATGATCATATGGTCAATTTCTATGTAACCATTGTAACCATTTTAAATTCTTCAGACGAAAAATCAACTTATGCAAAAGCATCTTTTTAACCTTCCGGATACAAATTTGCCAATATAAAAACCTGTTTTATTATAATAGATCTGTAAAATTAATATTATATTAAATCAATCAATTTATCAAAATTTAAATTTTTTACAATTTTTTGTGCTTAACTTTAAATTATTATCTTGTCATCCGGTTATTAATAAATCCGGATTAACCAAGGAACCGGGATACAAAAACCGCGGGAATAATAAATCTGGATTAAACCAAGAAACCGGGATATAATGAAACCGCGGGATATAATTAATCCGGGTAAAACGATTGGTGGTTTAACCCAATTGTAAATCACTCCATGAGTATATAATCAGTGGTAAAATTCATATCATAATCATAAAAAAAAAAAAAATGGAATTCTTTTATATTGAACTTGTCTTTGGATCCTTAACCTTTTTGATTTTATTTATTTTAATGCGTCGGGAACGACAAATAAAATTGGTAAATTGAGATTTAATGTTTATATTTCCCTGTTAAATTTAAATTGTTAAAAAAAAAAAAAAAAATGATTATTTAGAATGAACCCCCTCTTGTGTATTATAAATATCCAATTATTGGACATACTATTGATTATTTTAAAGACAATTCAAAATTTATTAAAGAGTGTCATGAAAAGTACGGAGAAATCTTTTCATTATATGTCTTTGGTCAAACTATAACCTTAGTCGCCGGTGAACATACACCTGAAATCTTCAGAAATCACAAAGATTTTTCTTTCAGTGACGCTACTCGAGAGGTATTTATAAATTAAAAGATCACAAAGCCAATTTTTCCTAACAATCATCCCCATCATTTAACAAAGTCACGTGAATTTCGCTTGATAAGCTTTTTCCTTTGCATGACTTTATGCGTCGCCCAGCCAGTTTTTCAATAAATTTGGGTTCGTTAGTTCAAAAAAATTTGTCAGGAGATTTAAAATTCTATACGGATCGAGTTCAAAGACAATTACTTAAATCTATTGACGAAATAATTGGAGACGGTAAAGGTAAGAAAGGAAGTCCAAGATGTCCAAGATTATTATGTTTTATTTTTTAATTCTTATAATAATGTTTTCATCATCTATTAGTTTTACAACCCCCTTTAAAATCCTTCCAATTCATTATCGCAAAACCTGTTGCCGCATCTGTGGCCGAAGAATTATCTGATGATAAAGAATTGATAAATTCATTCGCTTATTCCGTAAATGATATTGCTTCGTATATAACAATTCCACCTATTTTAAATTTCATTTATCCTAACTTGCACAGGAAATTTGTAACGTAAGTAAAACATGCTTGATCTTAAAAGTTCTTATCTAGCCACAATTATCTAAAATTAACTTTATTCATTTTTAGAATGTTTTTTCGTTATTCAAGTAATCCCTACAAATATCATAGAGAACTCATTAAACGAAAGATTACACCAGTGGTTGAGAAACGTTTAAGTGAAATGAAGAAACTTGACGGTGCTTATGTTCCCCCGGTAATTA